CCGTTTTCCAGGTCTCCGGCGAGGAAGGCTCAGAAAATTGGGCCTCAGGCCGAGGAACCAAGACCCATGGCCAGCAGAGGACGGGAGAGAAGGGCTCCAAGGGTCTGGGACAAACGCACACGGGGACACACAGGATGCGGGGAGCAGCAGCCCAAGGCCTTGTAAAGCGGGCATGCTCGTGAGATGCGCTCGGGGTCCCGCTTCCTCACCGGGGACAGGGGCCCAGGTTGTGGCCAGCGGGCCACGTGCAGAGCCCAGCAACCGCCCTTCGTGGCCCCGAGCCCCCAGGTCCCCACGCACCGCATGAAGCCCGTGTCCGTGGTGATGGTGTCCCCCGGCACCACCAGATGTTTCTTAGTCTCGCGGCCTAGGCTCTCGCTAAGAGGCTTGCGAGGGACCGGGAGCCTCATCTCCATCGCCATCTTGGCGCCAATGAATTGCGCAGGCGCGACCGGGCCGAGAGCCACGAGATCTCGTTCCGCAATTCCCGGCCGACTCTCGGGGAGGGGGCGGGGCCTAGGAGCAGCAGCCAATGGGAACTCGTGCTCTGGCGTCCATGATCACTATTGGCAACAGTTAGGCTCACATTAAGGGAAGGAGGGAGCAGCATCGCCATTTTTACTACGGGAAGCCTGCACCTGGGTAATAAAAGCTCATGTACGGTGTTGGACTTCTTGCCAAAACTGCCTCGCAGTCATCGTCCAGTTTATGGTTTTCCAGGGTCAGAGATAATTGAGAAATGGCCCTCTGAGTTTCCTTCCAGCTCATTGTGTGAATGAGCGCAGGAGGACCACACTATGGACGGAAAGAAGAGCCCGCTTTCGTGCTGCTCCTACTAGTAGTGCCGCCAGAATTCCACATCACAGCCGCCCCGTGGGGCTGGCTCAGCACCCACCATCATCTACACCCCCGAACGGTGCTCTGGGCGCCGCTTCGTTCTTTCATGGCGACTTTTGAATGAGCTGATTTACTCTAACACTTCTTTTGTAAAAACAAGAAACTGAGAAAACATTCAAACCTTGCAAGGCAGGTACATTTGGTAGGCAAGTGGGCACATAATACGAAGATCTTCGCTTATATTTCCTCAGACCTGAATTGAGTGCTCTCTGTGTTCTAAGGATTCAGTGGTGGAGAGAGAGATGTGTGTGTGGCTCTCTCTTCATGTCCTGTTTAACAGGAGCACTTCCCCCTCCCTTCTCCCGACCCTCTACCCTTCCCCTCACCCTTGCCCTGCGGGGTTTATAGCATTCACACCAAACCTCAGGGAATTGGAGATGATCATTCTTCAGGCACATGGACCCTAAAGAGGATTGAATGAAATAAGTTGCATCAGTCCTGTGCACTGTGTTCACAATATCAGGCTTGCTGCCTCCTGAAGACCCACAGACTAATTGTTTGCTAAATCTCCAAAGAGACAGCATTTCTTTCACCTAAGCAAAGCTCATGCTGCGAGTGTGAGAAGGGTCCATCTGTTGAGTCCAGCCTCGACCATAAGAGGGCGGTAGTGTCCTTTGAACCGGGCTAGGGAGGTAGGCCTGGGAGTTCCAGTTGACCAAGGAAGGGGTATAGTCTTCACATTATTCAGTTTCATCCTCGGAGGGATAGACATAACCTTAATCCCTCCCATTCTCACAGCACTCACATTTACAGAGCCTGACACGATGGCATTATGGATACTGTTCAGTCTGTTTTGGCAGCTATAACAAAATACCCTCAGCTGAGTGGCTTATAAACAACAGAAATTTACTCCTGACAGTTTGGGAGTTTGAGAAGTCCAAGATCAAGACATTGGCAGATTGGGTATCTGGTGAGGGTTCCCTTCCTGGTTCATAGATAGCTGTCTTTTCACTGTGTCCTCACTTGGCTTGAGGAGTGAGGGAAGGCTCTGGGGTCTCTGTTATAGACACTAATGGAATTCATGAGGGCTCTTTCCACCTTTTCCTCTTGCTCCTCCGCCTCCTACTTGACCGCACTGCTTCCCCGTGTGGCCCTGTGTGCTATGCCCTGCCTCCAGATTCTAGGGAATTGTGAGTATAGCAAATTTTTCATGACCAGATTCCTGCCGGCTCATCCTTGTACCTCCAGCAGGGGGAAATGTCTGCAGCTGACTTATTATATGCATTTAGACTGCAATTACAGCCTACTGACACCAGGTGGGTTCTGGTCCCTGTGATCTGTAGGGTGGGGGTGGGGGAGAGTGCTTAATGCTACGTCACCCATTTGGTTAGATGCCTGGGTGGGGGCTGCAGTGGGAGGATGGTAATGCCAGGGGCCACCAGAGGCATCAGAAGCCTAGGGGTGAGGTATAAAAGCAAAGGCAAGGTTTGTGATGGGAGCGGGAGGAGGAGAACCAAGGGTGACTTCCCCCACGGGCCCCCTGGAAGGAAACCCCAGATGGGATATGCAAATGAATACATTAAATGTACATTTCTGCCCATGCCTCCGCCTGCTAGGGCGCAGTCCCCCAAAGTACGGGGATCTTTGGGAGTACACACCTGAAGCTCCAAAGGGGGGTGTCCTGTGTGAGCCAGTGTGCATTCAGCGTCTACAGTTGTGTGTGTATATGTGCGCACGCGTGTGGCTAGATGAGGATGCCAGTAGCCTGAAAGGGTGACACCCTCACGGCTGGCGTGTGCTGGAACACAGGTGTGAACTCACTGCCCGGCGTCATACGCCCCTGGAGGGAGGAGCCAAGGCCTGGCCCTGCATCGATGGCCCCTCTCCTCTTTGGTCCTCTTCAAGGAAGCTCTGAAGTGGGTGTCTGAGCATTTGGGAATTCTATGCTTTGGGAGGGCACTTGGTGTCCATCTTGGTCTCCCCCCACTGGCTGCTTGAATTCCTTCAAGTTGTCCATGAACATGGGGGGGGGGGGAGGATGGAGGGAAAGTAAGTAAAAATTTTGGGGAAGTGACAAAGTGGGACCTTATATTTGAGAGTCAGCTGGAAAGTGGGAGTCAGCACAGCTCCTCCTGAGGTGTCCTAGAATCTGGAGGCAGGCTGCTTTGCCTGTGGGAGTTGACACCCCATTTGCGACAGGAAGATTTTTCCTTATAGATGGCACAATGGACAACTCCTCCCACCCCCTCTCCAGCTTCCAGGCACTCTCCATATTTCCTTTTCATGTAGACAAAAGTGTCAGCCCATTCAGATGCTAAGTGATAAATGCTCCAAGTAATTTTTATTTTAGAATACAAGAGAGGTACAAATGTATTTACAGTTATACATATACAATCAAATAATATATACCACAGTTTTTGTAAATATCATTTTAGGTAAATATTTACAAAGTTAAAGTGACCGTTTTCTGGAAGTAGAACACAGTTTCTTGAAAACTCTATACATTTTATACTTTTCATTAATATTATTATAGTTTCTTTATCTTACAAAACGCCCTACGGAAATACTGGTAAATGCCTGGAAGGTGGGAGAGATGACACCAGAGGGCGCTCAGGGCCGAACTCGGGGAAACGGGAAAGAGCAAGGGAGAGCGTGGGCAGCAGGGTGGACCCCCACCCCACGCACACCCCCACTCCGCACAGACGGCCAGTCTGTCCCTCCTCCTGCTGGAGTGTGGCGAGGACGGGCAGGAAAACTTCCCTTTCCCAACCATGATGTCAGAGCTGAAGGGGAGGGGGCCTCAGCCCAATTCTCTCATTTTATAAATGGAGGAAGGGGAAACTGAGGCCCAAAGAGGGGCAGAGTCTTTCCAGGGTCCCACAGTGGATTTCCGTTTGCCTGCACCCTCCGCATTGCAAAGTACTAGTGCCTCATCCATCCTCTGGGAGCCGCGTAGGGGTTGGAGAAGGAAGGTGGCCTAAAAGTGACCCGCCCCCCGCAAGGGCAGTGCGGGTCTCTGTGGGCCTCCTCTGGCTGCCACGCTCTCAAGTGACTGCGGACACTGAGGACAACAGCCCCAAGAGGCAGGATGGGGAGACAGGTGGGCGAGCGCCAGCTACACTGGGACAGGGGGGCGCTCTCCTTCCATTGCCAGCACACCGTTCTCGGTGGGGAAGTTGGAGGTCCCTTCCCTGCTTGGGGCCCTCGGAGACCTGCAGTCCCTTCTCCTGCCACCCACGAGGGGGATGCCAGCTTGGACGCCCGGCTCGACAGGAGGAGGGACACTGGGGAGTTAGGGCTTGGGGACCACCCACCCCAACAGGAGGCGGCCGAGCAGCTGCAACCAATGGGCGGCCCCGGGAAAGGAACGTCGTCCCCAGGGTCCTCATCTGAAAAACGGGCGAAAAGTGTACGCCCGGGGCTCACTGTTGGCGCGCACCGACACTGCGGGGTCCCCGGCCGCTTCCGGCCCGGAGATTCAGTCCGAAGGGCCCGCAGCCGGCGCGGGGGCGCTGCAGGCGGGAAGGCGGGGGCGGGCACCACGGCCGGCAGGTGGGGCGCGGGCGGCGCTCACAGCACCATGGCCGGCAGGTGGGGGCGCGGGCGGCGCTCACAGCACCATGGCCGGCAGGTGGGGGCGCGGGCGGCGCTCACAGCACCATGGCCGGCAGGGGGGGGCGCGGGCGGCGCTCATTGCACCATGGCCGGCAGGTGGGGGCGCGGGCGGGGGCGGGCGGGTGCGGGCGGCGCTCACAGCACCATGGCCGGCAGGTGGGGGCGCGGGCGGCGCTCACAGCACCATGGCCGGCAGGTGGGGGCGCGGGCGGCGCTCACAGCACCATGGCCGGCAGGTGGGGGCGCGGGCGGGGGCGGGCGGGTGCGGGCGGCGCTCACAGCACCATGGCCGGCAGGTGGGGGCGCGGGCGGGCGCGGGCGGCGCTCACAGCACCATGGCCGGCAGGTGGGGGCGCGGGGGGGGGGCGGGCGGGCGCGGGCGGCGCTCACAGCACCATGGCCGGCAGGTGGTGCGCGGCGGCGGCGAGCGCGGGCGCGGGCGGGGTGCGGGCGGGCGCGGGCGGCGCTCACAGCACCATGGCCGGCAGGTGGTGCGCGGCGGCGGCGAGCGCGGGCGCGGGCGGGGTGCGGGCGGGCGCGGGCGGCGCTCACAGCACCATGGCCGGCAGGTGGTGCGCGGCGGCGGCGAGCGCGGGCGCGTGCGGGTGCGGCGCGGGCAGGGCGGGCGAGTGCGCCTGCAGCGCGGCGCTGGGCGGCCGGTGGCGCGCGCTCTTCTGGTGGGCACGCAGGCCGGCCAGCTGCGAGTAGGCGCTCTGGCACACCTGGCACTTGTAGGGGCGCTCGCCCGTGTGCAGGCGCACGTGGTTCCGCAGCGTGGACGACTGGCTGAAGCGGCGGTTGCAGAAGCGGCACACGAACGGCTTGTCCAGCGTGTGGATGCGCATGTGCGAGCGCAGGTTGCTGCGCGAGTTGAAGCCGCGGTGGCAGATGACGCAGCGCATGCGGCCCGCGGTGCCCGCCGAGTCCGCCGGGTGGAAGTCCTCTGGCCGCGAGGGGCGGGGCGAGAGCGGGGTCCCAGGGGCGGGGGGCGGGAGGGGCAGAGAGAGCAGCCTCGTTAGAACCGCGCGGCCAAAGCCCAACACCCACGCTCCCCACGCACGTGGTCCTCCCCGGGATCTGCCCACCTCTAATCCCCCGAAGGTTCTCGGGCAACTGCTGGGGAGCGCTGGCAGGGGGATGGGAGGGGTAGCAAGGGCCCTGGCTTAGGGGTCACGCAGGAGCTGGACTCCACGCCACGCTGTGAGATTCGGAGACCTAGTGACTTGGCCTCACCAAACCTCAACTTTCTCACCTGTAAAATGGGAGCCTACTACACCTCAGGGGGGCTCTGCAGGACCAGAGGGGACGGTCACCCAAAGCTGAAGGCTAGTGAAGGCACTCTGCTGAGCGCTTACCTGCCGGAGCCGCGCATGGAAAGTGCCGCGCATGGAAAGTGCCGCGCACGGTAGCCTTCCATAAGCGGAAGTAACTATTATAACCCCCCCACCCCATCTCCCCAAGAAAAACTCCTTTCATTTATTATCCCCGCAAACATTTACTGATGCCTACTATGTGCCAGGGAACTGCGCTCACTTTCCTCACCTCAAACGGAGGTAATGATAGCATCACCGCCATGAGCCTGCTGTAAGGACTAGAGAAAGTTCTGTTTGCAAACAGCTGCAGAGTAAGGGCTCAGTGAGCATAGTTCATGAGCCTCAGATTCATCCTCCAGAAATAAGGGTAATCAGATTTCACAAGGATTTTCTGAGGACCCAAGCGGGATAAAGGTTTAGCCCAATACTTGGCACAAAATAGATCCGCGACCCTCCAACACACGGAGGCAATGCCCCACCTCCATCCCACAGGTTTACACGGGGCACCAGCGGCAGAGCAGGGAAAGGCACAGAGCCTCAGGGCCAGAGGGGGCTTAGAGATCATCTTACCCAACCTCCTTTAAAGATGGGGAAACTGAGTCACAGGGCCATTCCCAAGATTGCACAGCAGACCTGGAACCTCATCCAGGCTCCCTCGGCCTGGCCCCTGGCTCATCCTGCCAAACCAGGCTGCCTCTGGTGGGACCCTCCCCCATCACCTGCCCCTACTCTGTTCTGGCCAGAAAACAGAAGGACTGCCTCTCACTCCTGCCTGGGCCAAGGTGGTGGCTCCAGAGGCTTCGGCCTCCTTGAACCAGTAGGTCCCCTGTGCTCAGTGATGCTGGAGGTTGAGCCAGGTGCCTCCCCACCACACACACACACGCACACACACGCACACACACACACACATGCATGCACACACGCATACACACACTGGGCTCATGAAGAGTACCTACCGTGCTTGTTCTTTTTCTGCTCCTCCTCCAGCCCGGGCACTCCGGGGATCCCCAGGAAGGTGTTGTGCGAGTTCCCGTACCACACCAGCAGCTCCTGGTCAGGAGGGATCATCTGCAGAGAAGGAGGCCAGGGGAGGTCAGGGGGCAGTGGCCTGTGTGTGTGTGTGTGTGTGAGAGAGAGAGAGAGAGAGAGAGAGGCAGAACTCTGCACGCCGCCTCACAGCCAGGAGGCATCTGTCCTGGCACTTGCCATGGAGATGTGGCTCCAGTGGGTCCTGTTCCACAGGCCATCCCCAACAAGCTGCACGATCATGGAGACCCTGGGGTGCTCTGCTCCCCTCTTCCTGCCCAGGCTTCCCGCCATTTGCTGGGAACAGTGCTGCCTCCCAGACTCCCAAGCGGATGGCAACAGAACCGCAGCCTCACAGCGAGCAGAAGTGACAGCGACCCAAAGTGAGAAGACTTTCCATTTCTTACGTGGGGGGTGGGGGAGCAGTCAGCCAGCCCTCAAGTCTTCAGGGCGGAGCTGGATGCTCCCAAGGAGCCTGCGTTGCAGGGCGCCCCGTGGCACTTGGCTACCCCCTGCCCGATAATGCTCTCATCTGGAAACAGCTCTCATCCAAAGCACCCCAGGCAGCACCACACCACAGGTCATCCTCCCCCTTCACAGGGCTCTGTATGGCTCCATGCACGAAAGGACCTCCCGGGTTCTTTCCACCTGAGGAAATATGGGGCCCTGAGCCTTACACAATCCACTGTGTGTGTCCTGGGCCTCTGGCACAGAACGCCAGAGACAGTGCAGGGCTCTGCTGCTCCCTGCGGAGGACCTGCCCCTGGGCGTGGCCGTCAGGAGGGAGGACTTGCAGTGATCATCCAGGGAGCTGTGGGAGGCCTGCTCCTGCGTGGAGCTGACCATACGCACACTCTCCGGGTCATCTCAAGGGGCCACCAGTACCCCTGCCGAGCGGGGAGCCGTCAGGCCCAAATGAGAGAGGCGCGGCCCATCACCCTCCTGAGGCCTGCACCCCAGAAGAGCTGGCTTTGGCACCCACCCCGGGGGCACTCTGATCTGTCCAGAGAAATGGACACCCCAGGCCACAGCTGGTTTTTTTCCTGGTGGGTCCTCTTTTTTAAAAAAATGTTTTTACTGATTTTTTTTATAGCAAAAGGAAAGGAGAAAGAGAAACAGATACTGGTTGCCTCCCTCATGCACTCAGCCAGGGATCAAGCCTGCACCCTGGGCATGTGCTCTGATCCGGAATCGAACCGGTGACCTTTTGGTGCATGTGGGACGACACTCAACCAACTGAGCCACACCAGCCAGGGCCCTGGCCTTTTAGTGACGCAAAAGATCCGATGGGATTCCATGTAGGGGTGTCTGGTATCAGCCGTGCAGGGCCCTCCCGTGGCTTCTGTGGTCACAGCGAAGGCCCACCCCTTCCCTGCGGTTCTGGCCCGCAGGCCCCCTCCATACTGCAATCCTACTGTCTCGCACACCTTCTTCCTCTGGTCAGAGCCGGGAAGACTCTCAGGCATCACAGCCGGCTCTGTTCCTTCCCCGGAAGCAGAGGGACCAGGGAGCGGCAGGTGGGAGCAGGAACGTGCAGTGTAAGGGGGCCCAGTGACTGAATCCTCCTGAGACGCAGCCAGGGGTCACCGTAGCCAGGGGTCACCGTGCCCCTCTCCCCCAGCCACAGGGCCCAGAGCACGTGGCCTCAGGCCTCAGGGAAAGCGAGGGCTGAGAACAGGCAGAGGGTGGCGCCAGCTCAGAGGGACGGGGCTGGATATGGAGCAGGGGTCCTCAAACTTTTTAAACAGGGGGCCAGTTCACTGTCCCTCAGACCGTTGGAGGGCCGGACTATAGTTTAAAAAAAAACTATGAACCAATTCCTATGCACACTGCACATATCTTATTTGGAAGTAAAAAAAAACAAAAAACGGGAACAAATACAATGTTTGTATTTGCATGTGGCCCGCGGGCCGTAGTTTGAGGACCCCTGACCTGGAGGAACCGAGTGCAGTCTGAACCCACGGAAAAGTGGGCGGTGCCTCAAAGAAAGCAGGAACCGCCGCGAAAGTTCTGGAGGCCTCTCTGGTCATTCACAGCCGTGGCCACTGTGCAGGGGCCAGCAGGTCAGACCCAGAGGTCCTGCTGGAAAAGGGGCGGCGAAGAGAGGGGTTTGGCGAGCCCTTTAGAAAACAGGAGGATGGAAGTAAAATACTTCAAATGAACTCACTGTGAAAGCAGCCACTCGCCACGAGACAGCGCACATGGGACCTCTGTCATGAGGGCCCTGGGTGACCTTACATAAGTCACTTTGCCTCAAATGAAGGAACTGGGGTCTCTGAGGTCCCCCAACTTTAGGACTCTGGCTGGAAGCCACCTGCAATATTGCCCCAACCCCTGGCTGCAGTCCTCAGATGTACTGACATGTATCCATCGTGGATTTTCTAAAGCAACCGGCCCCCCCCAGACGGTCTCAATCTGCCTCTGCCTCTGCCTCTTCCTTCAGGAGACGCACAGCACAGGCTTCCAGCTCAGTCAGGTTGGGGTCCACTTGGGCTCCCCACCTGCTGACCACCTGACCTTGGGCCGGTCTCTGGGCCCCGGTTTCCTCCACCATAACGCGGGGCAGCAGCACTGCCCAGGCCTCACTGGGTGCTTGTCGGGAGCCAGGCACACAACGCTCTTTACGCGATCGATACACAGGAGAGCTTGCTATGACCCCCCCCCGCACCCCCCTCCCGAGCTTGCCAACCTCTCAGAGAAGCTGGCAGTGATCTCAGGCGCGGGGGAGTCCCCCAGTCGCCGCCGCCGCAGAGCTGGCGGTGTGGTGCGGGCCGCCGGCACCTGGCACCATTAAAGCCCAGCGTGACCGTGGCTTTGCTTTCACTGTCTGACAAGAGCATCGGCTGGGCCCCCACTACTTCCCACAAACAAGGGGTGAGAGGTTCAGCAAGCCCCCCCCATCCCAACCCTCCCTCCCCCGTGATGTCGCCCTGAGCCCTGAGCTGCAGCAGCTTCACCTCCAGACTAAGTCAGCACTGGCCTTTTTCTTTTAATTGACGATAAGAATTATTAATTAAGCATAACAACAACAAAAATGATGATGACCGAGGAGCCAAGAACTCTGAGACTGCACAAAATTTGAAAATTATTATTCCAGAGCTTCAATATTAGCTGTTTCAATACAACGCTCAGTCGTTTATTTACTAATGTCTTTTAAATGTACAAAAATTGGCCCTGGCCGCTGTGGCTCGGTTGGTTGCAGCATGGTCCCGTGAACCATACAGGATCGATGTTTCTCTCTCTTTCTCTAAAATCAATCTTTAAAATGCACAAAAGGTCATTTTACTAAAATTAATTATAAGATTAAAATAGTGATGCGCACATCCATGCAAACAGATATTTTTGTTCTAAGTGCTTTATAGTTTACTAAAATTTTACTTTTGTTGGATAAAAAAAAAAAGAGAGTGATGCAGACCCACGGACAAAAACGTGTAGGCGCGTAAAAGGGTAGAGAATGAGCAGCCAGTCTCTCTCCCACGCTGGGGGCCAGGCTCTACACCGGGTTTCTGCGTAGGGAAGGGCCTGTCATTTTGAGACAATTAACGAAGCTGATTCAGGTTCCTGGGGAGCAGCGTGATGGGCAGAGTGACTTCCATTTTCTACATGACGCATCTAATTTTTTAAAAAATGAGCCGCTCTCGTACTATTTTTATACAAAAAAATATTTTTTTAAAGAAAGAAAATCCATTAGGAAGAACCTACTGGAATTGAGAATGACGCACATCCCCGCCAGCAAGAAGCCAGCAGCCCTCTGAGCCCCACCGGGGAAGGCAGCCTGGCCTGCACCGACGCCAAGCCTTCGGAGCCCTGGGTCTGGACCTCTGGTCTCTGCCTGCTCCTCGCAGCCTCTTCCTGAGATCCTGGTCCTATTGTCTGGAGGCCCCCCCGAGCTCCCACCAGCTGCCACCTAAGAGCAAAGACCAGCCATAGTCCCCTGCAGGGCCCCTCATCCCCTCACTAGCACGGTTTCTTTAAGGCCAACCCTTCAGCCTGGCCCAGCCAGGCTCTCCCTGGGGCTCAGAACCAGAATCAGCTGCTCCTTCACTTTCCTGGGAGCAGGGACTGGCTCGGGACATGCGATCAGCCACACAGTTTCCAGAGCAACTGAGTGCCACACCCGTCACCCAGACTGGAGGGGAGGGCGGCATATCAGTGCCCGAGCCTTCCATGGACAAATTGCACCATCTCTCAGCGCATGCTTCTTAACCTTCCCGATCAGCCCACAAGTTTTGTCCTGCCCCATTTCTGAATTTTTATAAATGGAAGTGATGGGGTTTGGGGTTTGTTTTCCTCATACAAATCCACGCCACACCATTGAACATGCTCCCAGGGGCTCCGCGGCCCTCCCTTCCCCAGGCGGTGCAGCAGCCCCGTCTAGAAGGATCTCGGTGACATCTGGGCGGATATCAATTTCCATTGTACCACAGATGTCCTGACACACCAATTAATAGAGTTCCAGCAAATAGATATTGGCCAGGGAGGCCCCGTGGTGGCCAAAGGCTCGGCTCTGGGGTCGGACAGGCCTGGACTCAAATCACAGCCCAGCAACCTCCCTCAATCTCCCTGAACCCTAGTTTCGTCGTCATTAAAATGGGGAGCGTGATGGAGAGCACCTCACAGTGGAGAGGATTCTATTTCTAAAAGGTTGCTAAGCCTTCGCAAGGCGCCGCCGGCACGGGGTAAGGGCCCACATGGTGGCAGGGTCATTAATGCTGCTCATTAATAAGCAGAGCCCCTTACCTGCACCCACCGATGAACAAGGTCGAAGGAAAACCGCGCTTATCCCCACGGGGCCAAAGAAAGGAGAGATGGGGCTATGGGCTCGAGGGGAAAAAAGCTCAACTCCCTGAAATGAGAAGGAAAGTAGCAAAAAGGCAAGCCCACATTTCAGGGCCAGTAATGTGTCAAAAACCAGGGTGGGGAAAAAACTGGGAATTTTCTCCCTCGTTCCCAATTCCAAAAAACACCACTATCTCTTATTCCTACATCCTTTTCTTGTGCTGAGTTTTGGAGTCAAAGGTCTTGCTTGGGGCAGGAGGGAGGTGTTTTCCTGGGAGAACTGGGTCCATGTGTCCCCCTTTCAACTGAGCCCCTCTCACCTACAGAAAGAAGCACTCAGTCAACATTGAGCTCCCACTTGCTATGGGCTGGGAACTTTCTAGAAGTGTCATTTTAGGCACCCGAGGCTATAGTAAATTCCTCCTGGTTGCACTGAGCAAGGAGGGTGGGTGCCCCAGGGATAACATGCCAGTAGATAAGCCAGATGCAAAACAGGCCTGGGCGCTCTCCACTGACTGGCGGCCTTGACACTCCCACCCTCCTCTCCGTGAGGAGGGCTGAAAATTGTGGAGCAGAAGTAGTATATCCCACTTCCTTCTTATTTTTATTTTTGGCAAGTAGTGGGTTACTGTTATGAAATATAAATAGTTCCGGGTGACAGAAAGATTAAGAAAACCGATCACGCAGAGGCCTCTCTCCTGGGCTCACTTGCCCACGGGCCCAGAACAAAGGGCCGCCTCTCCCGGGGGCGCCTGGGGAGAGGTCTGGGTGCACCGTTGCTTCCGGTGGCGCCTAGGAGGGCGGTGTGAGCTGCGGCCTTGGACCTGCTGCCCGGTGGTCACACACGCCCACACACGCACTTCGCCCGGTGGGTGGAATCTGACATTACAACGCAATCTGAGAAAATTGTCACCACGGAAAAATGTGCCCAACTTCACTTAGTAAAAATAAAGTGAGTTGGCCCTGGCTGCGTTGCTCAGTTGGTTGGAGCGTCGTCCTGATACGCCAAGGTTTCAGGTTCGATCCCCCGTCAGGGCACATACAAGTAAGTGGAACAACAAATTAATCTCTCTCTTTCTCTAAAAAACCAAGTAAAAAGCCAAACCTAATAAAAATAAAATGGGTGATGCTTTGTGTTTCCTTGCCCCTCCCTCAAAAGGCCCGTCTTCGTACACGTGCTACTCGACGAAGTTAGAGCATTCCTGGCCACCCGGGCTCTCTAGCTACCAATACCATAAATGATCGGACCTTTCCTGATCTTTTACCAACTTAAACTCCTGATCAAATGTGGATGACTTTTTCAAACTCTCATAAACCAGGTCTCTCCTTGGAGAGTTCTTCGGCTGCCGGCCCTCTGACCCTGAACGTCTGTATAAATGTCTATTAACATGCGTGTCCTGGCTCCGTTCAGCTTCCAGCCTCAGGAGAGACGGTGCACAGCGAGATGAAACCTAGCCCCCTTGCCCCCGGCCCCCGCCGTCTGCCCGAGCCTTCTGCCAAAACCACCAGGCGTCCCTGTCGGTCTCCTCTGTGCGTGTGCGTGTGTGTGTGCGTGTGTGTGCGTGCATGTGCGTGTCTGCGTGGGAGGGACGGGGTGGGTGTGGGTCCCCAGGCTCATCTGAATGGGGATGGCTGGGTAGCCGTGTACACATGTGAGGGGGTGTGTGAGGCTGAGAGGGGTGAGGATCTGGAAGGATGCTCTCTATCAGAAGCGGGGTTCGGCCACCCCTGAGGCCGATTCCAGGATGTCTGCTCTCACAGATGTTAGCCCAGCTGGATGGTCACAAGAACCACCTCTGTCCTGGGCCTGGCCACCTCCGTCCTCCGTCACACTGCCTCACTCTGTCCCACCTCACCTGAACCCCAGTCTAGGAATGCTCACCTTCCTTATCTCCCAGGGTTCCCCCCACACACCTCAGCTGGGGCCCACTCCCAGGCCACACCAGGCAAATACCATTCTGGGGTCATCCCTAGGAGATTCCTGAGGCCTAGTTACTCAGGGACAATCGGACCTTAATTCCAGAAGCTTCTAGGCCCCAATGCCCCTTGGGCCTTGGGCGGACTTGGGGATCTGAGTCCCCGGGAGAAAAGGGAGCTAGGCTAACAAGGAGTCACTCCCAGGCTCTGGCGAGGCTCCTTCAGACCACCCTAAAACTCAGCCCAGCCCAGCCCCACCCACGGGGCACCGTGCCTCTCCCCACCTGCAAGCAGAAGCAGGGGGGTCCGGAAAAGTGGGGGGCAGACAATCCCATCACCCTGAACAGCGCTCCCTGACAACCTGCCGCCTGCCGCTGGGAGGCCAGGCAGCATGCCCCGTCCTGGGCCAGATGCTGAGTGAATTTCCTTCCAGGGGACCCTGCCCAGGAAGGTCCCGACAGGGTGGTCCTCCTTGGCCACCACCACTCAGCTGGCCATCAGCTCCTGCCCAAACACTGCGAGCTTGTCTGCCTCTGCCCGAGCCTCTCTCCCATCTTCTTGAACCTTCTCATGCCCTGGGCCTGGCTTAGCCCCCCCTCCCCCCCAGGACCATGGGAAGTGATATTTACCTGTCTGCTATCGCCCCCTTTCTCTCCTGAGAAGCTTCGCCCACAGCAGGCATTAGTGTAAACATCGCCCCCATGCCCTGTAAGCGCTCCTGAGCCTGCCTGCCACCGACTGAGATCCAGTTCCCATGTCTGTAAACTGCAGCAATGGCAGAACCTCCCTTGTGGATTACATACGTGAGGATTAAATGGGATAATGCGGTACAGCGGCTGGGAGAAGCCTGACACCCGGGGCGACCGGTATGTGACAGCCGAGACTCGATCGTGACCCACATGCCATCAGTGTCCCACGCAGGCAGGAGGAGGGACAACACACGGCTAAACCGCTGCAGACACAACCCCCTCTCCCACCCGGACGCTTTCCCTGGGCTGCCTTCCTCTGTCCGGCTTTCCGTATTGCTATGGCTTCTGAACCCCAGGACACCCTCAGCAGCTGCCCAGGGGCCTCCCTGTTGAGGTGCTCATGACATTCACAATGGCATCAAAAGTCCCGTCCTGCCCTAACCGGTTTGGCTCAGTGGAGAGAGCTTCGACCTGCAGACTGAAGGGTCCCAGGTTCGATTCCGGTTAAGGGCATGTACCTTGGTTGCGGGCACATCCCCAGTAAGGGGTGTGCAGGAGGCAGCTGATCGATGTTTCTTTCTCACTGATGTTTCTAACTCTCTATCCTTCTCCCTTCCTCTCTGTAAAAATATCAATAAAATGTATTTAAAAAATAAATAAATAAAAGTCCCGTCCTTTCTGATCTGATCTGCGGCAGCAAGGTGCCTGGAGGTCGTGCTCCTGAAGACCATGATGCATGGGCCTCAGCCCCACAGCCTGGGCCGGGCTGCGGTCAGGGCCCCTCCCTCCAGAGCAGACCTCAAACACAGCTGCCCTGCACCCTGCACCCAGCTGCTCCCGCTGTTCCCTACACACACACACACACACACACACACACACACACACGTGCGCGTGCACCTCGATGGCCTTGTAGAAGATGCTGGTGCCAATCTGGACGACCTCCAGGTTTTGCTCCTGCTCGTTACGTGCGCACTTGATGTACGTCATCCAGCTGCGGTGGTCCTCCTGGCTGGCATCGATAAAGTAGCGCACTGTGCCGTCCTCATTGAACACCTGGGCACAGGGGAGTCAGGGAGCAGGCAAGGCAGGGCTCTGTCAGGTGTGCCACCTGTGTCCAGGCCCTGGCGCCATGCCAGGCACTCTCTCTCCATCCTCACAGCAGCCCAGGAAGTGGGCACAGCTCTTACTGTCTCAGTTTTCCCGCTGAGAAAAGAGAGGCTCAGCCTGGCACAGCGACTTGCCTGAGGCCCGCTGGCTAGGAGTGGCCAATAGGGAGTCTAAGGCCCCACAGGCTCCTTCCTGCTGCCGTGTGCTCCCCATCCCCAGTAGAGCAGGGTCTCCAAGGGATCACCGATGAGACAAAGAAGCACACAGCGAGCTCTCCGGGAATGGAGAGGTTTCCCCAAAGCCGGAGGGGGCTGGCCACAGCACAGAGGGCACACAGGAGCCCAGAGAGGTAAGGCTGGCTCCCTGTGGCGCCTGGCCCGGCCTAAGCCCCTTTGGGAGAGCGGCCAGGGATACTCAGAGCTCAACCTGGACCCCAACTTCCTAACCCAGCAACAAGGAGAGAAAGTAACCAGGGGCTTGGGCCTCCAGGCGCGGGAGGAGGTGAGGTTAGGAGGGGCGAGGGGGGATGCAGGTGTCGAGGAGAAGGCTCCCAGATCGCCATGGGCCCTGCGCAAGCCACACGGCCTCGGGCTCTCAGTGTGCTCTCTTCTGTGAAGTGAGCCAACAGCAGGCATGCTCCATAGGTTTGACCAGAGGAAAGAGGATCAGATTTGGGGGGAAGAGGAGAAGCGTACTGGGGCGGGTTGTGGGGATCCAGCAGCATAGGGTCCTGCCTTGAGGAATGGCCGCCCCTCCCCACAAGGGCAGAAGCAGCTGCGGGGCGTTGGAGGTGCCCCCCCACCCCCCACCCCCACCCTGACCCCGAGCCTACCTCCCACATGAGGTTGTTGTTCTTGCAGATGTCTACGTGCTCCGGGGCGATGAGGCGGCCGGTGAAGGGGCCCATCTCGGTGCCAGCCTTGATCCATGTCTTGGAGAAGATGCCGAGGCCCTCGCCAGGGATGGAGCTCTGCGCGATGATCACCTCCGCCGGCAGCACCAGGCTGGACAGCTTCTGCACCTCTGTAGCCGCAGGGGCGCGGGCAGGGTCAGCGCCCAGGAGCCCTTCCCGCCGCCCTGACCAACCCCAACTGCCTGGGTGACTCCCGCGTGTGCAGAGGGACTGCGGCTGTGGGGGCTCCGCGCTGTTTGCAACCCTGGAACCCCCAGTGCCCTTGAAAGCTGTGCTTTGGGTTTATTTCTACTTTTTGGTTGTTTGTTTGTTTGTTTAGTCCCTCCTCGAATTCTCAAAGCACCCATCATTTCCCCTGCCCTCGCCCGGTAAAGTTTAAGAACGACTTAACCGACCGTAGTGAGTGGTTTCACACTTGGGTAAACTGAGGCCAGCTCCCTTGAGGAGGTGATGGCCACGACGACACTGCTGGCCCAAGTCCTGGTTTTGTGTTCTTCCACCCGCCCCATCTCCCACGGAGCTCACCGCACTGCCAGCTCACAGCGCTTCGCTCCGGGGCGCCGAGCACGGTGGCCCCAGGGTGCGGCCAGGGGGTCTGACTCCTGCCCGGTGCGTGCGGGAGGCCCCTTTCCCGGGGTGGGCTGGCAGCACTGGGAACAGACCTCAGACTGCGAGGCCAAGGGGGCCCAAGAGAACGCGGGATGCGCCGCTCCCTGTGTGACCCCGGGCGCGCCTGTGTCCCTCTATGCATCCATCCAGAATCGGGGGCGCCGGGAAGGGCGGCTCCCCAACCCAGGCGAGCCCTGCAGTCGCCATTCTGGGCCTGGAAGAGCGGGGCGGTCCGCAGTCCCTGGGGGTCCCCCGGCCGCCGAGCCTGGCAGCCGATGTGGGAACGGCGAGGCGCACAGGGGCGGCCTCCATGTCTTACAAGATTCCCCTCTAAGCTACCTGGGAAAATGCCCGGCCAGCCGGCGGCTGAAAGGGGGGTTAAACGGTGTCCGTTGCAGCGCGGCGGCAATTTGTCACGCTGTTAACGTGAGCGCATTCACTCGGCTCCATTCGCAAGAAATGGCTAATTCTAAATTCATTAGCCCTGGAAGAATGCTGTAGCAGTAAATTGTAGCTCAATGCGGAGGGGACTTGTTTAAAAGGGGCCGAGGAATTCCCCTTACAAAGAGGGGGGATTAGATGGTTGACATAGCGTGAATGGCGGTGGAATTAGTCTGCACGGTAAATTAAGAGAGGAACAGAGACCGTCCGGGGGAAGGGAGGGCGCGCGCGGGGATGCCAGCGCCGGGAGGGATTGTTCGCGGGGTGATGAATGAGGAGCGAGAACTTGAGACATCTTAAAGAAAAGAAACTTTCCTCGCTCCCTTCTCCCCCTGGCTCCCGGCGAGGCCTTCTCCCCCCGCCCGTCCGCCCCCCGCCCCCGCCCCGGCCCCCGCCGCCTTTTAAAGTTCTCGGTTTAAGTGGGAACTTGAGCGGGTCAAGCCCAAGTTAACCAAATGAATTTAAAACCCCTTCTTCTTGAGTCAAGTGCTATTACACGCCGAGTAAGGCTTTAGATGCCAGGAGCCCGCCGGCTCAAGGGGGCGAGGGGCGGGCCGGGGAGCGCGGGGGGCGCCGGCTCCGCAGCCTCGGCGCCGCGATCCTTCTCCCGGCCCTTCCCGGGGCCGCGGGGTGGGGAGCTGTCCGGCGCCCCGCTCGCTCCGCCCCGCGCCGCCCGGGCTGGGCTGCTCGCGTCCCGGTTCGGCTTCTGGGAAACCGAGGCACGCGGAGCAGCTGGGCCGCTCAGGTTGGCGCGAGCAGCTCCCAAGCCTCTTGTCCCCGCCGCAGCCCGCGCGTCGCCGGGGAGGAATCTGTCCGCGCGGAGGGGGGACGCGGCCGCCCGACGGCGAGACTCACCGCCGGAGAAGGACTGCGCCAGGACCTCGGCGGTGAAGGCCGTCTTGGGGCTGGCGTGGTGGCTCTTGTCCTCGAAGAGCTGCTCGCCCAGCACGTTGCGCCAGCGGCCGTACAGGAAGCTGTGCAGGATGTCGGAGGTGATGACCTCGGCCAGCGCGAGCCCCGGACCCTTCAGCCCCGTCTTGAGCACCAGGGCCTCCGCCGGGAGCACGGAGCCCATCATGGGCGGCCCAGGGCTCGCCGGCGCCGGGGACGGACGGCCGGGCAGACGCGAAGATGTGTCGGGCGAGAGGGGAGCGGAGGAGAGAGAGGAGAGGGCTGTGGGGCAGAAGGAGAAGGCAGAGGAGCCGGGAAGGAGGAGGCTGCAGGAGGGAGGCGAGGGGGTGGCGGGGAGGAAGGGAGATGGGGAAAGCAGCGGAGATGCCAGAGGCGGCGCGGAGGGCGGCAGAGACGGGCTGGAAGCGAAGGCGGGCGGGTGCGGGTGGGAGGCGGGTGGCTGTAGAGAATCGGCGGCGGCCAGCGGCTCTCGGACGTGCGCTTGCCTCGCGCACACGGGCCCGGTCGGTCTTCGCCTTGGCAAAGCCTCAGCGCCTTTATAAGATTCCCAGTGACCCTCCTAATTGGTTATTAATGACGCCCTGACGTCGGAGGACAGACTTGTTGGACCCGGCCGGCTCGAGGAGCCTTCGCCACCACAGCTCCCCATTCGCTCCTCCCGCCCCTCCCCGGCCCTTCCTCCCCCGCCCTCCTCTTCCTCCTCCTCTCCCCTTGGGAAGCCCGGCTGGGAGGGAGGCTCTGCTCGCCTCCAAGAGAGGAGGGGATGGAGCTGGGGAGGGGGCTCAGCGAAGTTCAGTTTGCTTGGACCCCAGAGACCCTACTGGGCGGGAGGAGACGCTGGCCTCGGGCAGGGCCGGGCTCACCCATTGTCCCAGGCCCGGACAGGCCCCAAGCTCCTGGGCCCGACCTTGGGCTCTGGGCACCACGTCCTGGACTGTGTAGTCGCCCCAGAACCCGCAGGCCCAGCGCGCAGATGGATCTGCCTGAGCGCTTCGCTTCGCTTCAAACGGGCGCTCCAATCCCTCTGCTTGCTGCTCACAGTCGGTGTGAAACCATCCCTGGGCGAAGAGGGCTGCTTGACGGGCTGCAGGCGCTGTCCGGGCTGGGCCGTGACTGACACGGATGGGCGCGGGGCTCCTGGCTGTGTGTGTGGGGGGGGGGGGGACCGAAATCCGCACTAGCCACGGGTGGCTTGGAAAAGGCTTTCCAGCCGGATACAGGGGAGGTGCGGGTGGAAAGGGTTTCCGGACCGTACTGAGTGGGAGCAGCCGTGCCCGCCCGGAGCGATGTCCTCCGAAACGGCAGGCAGTCCCTGGCCAGGCCCCGAGGGCTCGGGGCTCCATACTCAGGCCTCCTGGCTCCTCTGCTCAGTTGTGATCTTGGGAAACCCGTTGCCCTCCGGCGCTCCTTCCTTCTTGCCTTCTACCTCTCTTTCTCCTGCAACCTCCATCTTCTCCCTTTCCTCCCTCCTCCTCTGCCCCCACCCCGCCAGGAGACCTTCTGCTCCGAGGCTCTGAGGCACCTGAGCGCCAGCGCAGCCTCTCTGTTGGCCTCTCTCCGGACGGGAGCTGCTGAGCCCACAGCCAAGGCGGGAAGGCCACGCTTCCTGCAGGCTCTGCTGACTCCTGGGGTTAGTTTCAGGTCCCCGACTCCAGTGCCAGACAAGGGAGGGAGGCATGGGGACACCTCCCCCAACCTGCAGAGCTCCTCAGCGCCTCTCCCCACCCACATTATGTCAGATTCTGTTAACAGCATCGGGTTAGCTGGAGGAAGCCGATGCCCCAGGCTTCTCCGCAGGGTGGGAACTCGGTGGAGAGGCAGGGGGACAGGCCTTCCCGCCAGGCGTGGTTGTCCTCAGGCCCCTTGGCAAAGAGGCCCCTCCACCATGGGGGTCCGGCCTTTACTAAGCCATCCTCACACCTGGCAGCTCTGCATGCTGGGTTCTGGCCAGTGATCTCCGACGTCCCAGGTCGCATCCGCGGGGAGGCTAGGACGTGGGCAAACCTCCGGCTTTCAGACCGGGGTCCAGAGCCGCCCGGAGGCTGATGCCTGGGAGGTTGCACCGGACAGAAGGCGCGACCTTCGGGCCTACGCCAGCAGAGGGCAGCGCTGCGGAGGAGAGAGCGCAGCCCCCGAGTCAGGCTCCCTTCTAGACGCCTCCAGCGAGTCGCAGTGGCTCTGGCTTGAGCCGAGGGCGCTGGCACGGGAGTCTCACCGGCGCCAAGGACTTGGCTTCTGTGAAGACTTGGTAGAGGAGGCAATGCGCCGGAGGAGGAGGAGGAGACTACATCGGGGAGCGCCGCCAGGGGCCACGGGCGCAGCTCCCAAGCCCCGCAGCCACCCTCAGCGCCTCGGGGAGACCAAGGCGATGAGGACCCGGCCCTTCTCCGCTCTGGGCTACAGTGTCCCGGTGCGTGCAGTTGTTTGGGCTGCACTTTGCGAACGGAGGTTTCTTTCGCCTTGTCTGTCTTTGGGTCAGGTGACTCCTTCTGCAAGCCCTGAGGATTGTGCCAATTCCAGACCACACCCCGCTAAGGAAAGTCCTCTGGCGGGCAACATTTGGATCCTAACCCCGCCTAGGGGTCAGAAGGTGAAAGGATCGAGGTCTCCGACCGCCAGGGAGCCCTATTCCTTTTGCGGAGACCCACAAATCCAGGGAGCGGTGTTGGGGGTTGGGTGGACGCGGCGCCCAGAATAGCCATCCAGCTCGAGCGCCTGCCCGCTAGCCCCACGGGTCTCCACGGTGAGCTCACATTCTGTGCTCCTGGTCTGGCCGCAGACCCACCTGGATCGCGCTCCAGGAGGGAGTCCTATAGGGAGCTGCCCAGTCTCAGGGACCCTTGAAACTGGGGAGCCAAGAAGCTTGCGTTTTCACCTCCCCTGGCTGAGACTGCGAGGGAGAACACCGCACCTTCAGGGGGTTCTCCGCGGACGAACCCTGCGGTTTTCCACGGAGCCCAGTGTGCGGGCGCGAAAGCCCCCTCCGCTAGCCCGGGCGGGCCACAGCTCGCAGGCCCGCCCCGCCCCCCGCGCCCCGCGGGCCGCTCCTCCGCGATCTCTTTAATATTCATGGGCGTTAATAGAGAGGCCCCCAGTATATCGGTCCTTTGTGGGCAGCTCGTAGGGCTTGAATAGGCTCCGGCCCCTTTCTTCGGTGCCGTTTCCCGAGGGGCCGGGCCAGGAGTGAATGGCCCCGCTTCCCGCCCCGCGCCCCCACCCCCTTGCAGAGAGAACATCTTTATCCCGCAGCCGCCGCCCGGGCCCCCATTCATGCGGCCCGGGCTCCGGGCAGAACGAATCAATCGGCCGCGGCTCTTCGGAGGTCATCCTCATGGCCTGTCTCTCCCTTCTCGCCGAGCCCACGGGAGTGGCGGGAGGCTGAGGCAGGCTGGCGGGCCTACAGATTAGGGGGCACGGGGCTGGGGCGCAGGGCAGCACCGGGCGGGGTGTGCCGGCCCCCGCAGGTTGAGAGGAACTCGGGGTCCCGCGGCCCCCCGGGCGGGTGATTTCTACCTGTTGCCCCGCGCAGGGAGGAGCGCGGAGAGAACCAGGGCCGCGCCTAAGCCCCTAGCGCCGTCCTGCCCCCCCTCCAGGCAGCGGTGCGCGCCCCTTCGGGTGAGGGGCCGCACCCCGGAGGCCGGGCGCACAGAGAGGGGCTCCCAGGCCCCGCGGCCAGACCCGCAGGGCACTTCCGTCCCCGCCCGTGCGCCCAGGCCTGGGTCGCGCTGCAGTGGGGTGTCTGGAGGGCTCCCTGGCGGAGGGGGTGCGCGTCGGTCAGGCGGCCGAAGCGCACAGGTCCCCGCTCCTCCGCCCCGCCGGCCCTGCGAGGCGCAGAAAGGAGCCATTGTCCGCGGGGAAACACGTTTTTGGGGGCCGAGTGAAAGCCCGTCTTTCTTTTGAACTTTAGAAGAGGCTTCTGCCCTCGCCCTCGGAGGGAGAGATTTGTCCCCCCCGCACCGGCCCGCTCGCCGCCTCCTCCCGAAACATCTGCCGGGGAAAATCCACCCTGGAGGGCAGATCGCGCTCCTCTAAGCCCCGCGAACTCATTAAAAAGATATTAGCGGTGGGGGCGGCTCCCGCGCGGGCATCGATCGGCCGGAATGAGCCCGAGGGGGAAAAGGCGAAGAATGTGGATGCACCGCGCCCCGACCCCCGACCCTGGTCCCCGCCGCTGCGCCCCAGCCTTGCGGCGGGAGTGGGGCCCTGCGCGTCCTTGCGTCCCGTCGTCCGGCTGCTTGGGGCTCCCCAGTCCCTTCCCGGTCCTCCCCTCTCCCGGGGCGCCCCCTCCTCTCCTCGCCCGCCGGCGGGGCCCAGTCTCCCCTCTCCCTTTCCTCCTCTGCGCGCTGGCCGCACCGTCGCGCTCTCCACTTGGCGTCTCTCCTTGTTCCTGCTTCTCACCCTCCTCGCCGGCCGGCCGGCCCCGCGCAGGCTGTCTCGCGTCCCCCCAGCTCCCTGCTCCCGTTTCCCTCGCCGCCCGGGTTCGGTCTCTCCGGCCCCGTTCCCGGCCTGGCCCAGGGAAGTTTCTTCCCGCCCGGGTCCCGTGTGCTCTCCCTGCCCCCGTCCTCGCAGGCCGGTTCTGGGCGTCAGGGCGCCCACAAAGGCTTGTACAAAGGCTCGACGGCTGCGCCGGTGCGGTGGGCGCGGGCCGCCACAACGGCTTCAATGGGCGCGGCCTGCAGCGCACAGGGAGAGGCGGCGGCCCCGGGAACAGGGACAGCGCCCCCCCCCTCCCCCCCCATCAGCAGCCTCCGAGGCCCGAGACAAAGGCGCGCCCTGGGGCGCCACGTCGGGTTCCTGGGCGCGGAGCCGGCTCCGTGTCGGGCAGGTGACGGGCACGCGAGTCTCTCTGGGAGCCGGGCCTCCCGGAATCTCCCCCGCCCCGTCGCCCGCGCACGGGTCCCCAGGCTCCGGGATGCCAGCGCCAACGTCCCGGCAGATCAATGCGGCGGGACGGAGGGAGAGCGGCTCCGGGAGGCTCAGCAGCCAGGAGAGACGCGGCTTCCGGAAGCAGAGGGGGCGGGGAGTGGGAGACTGAGGCAGAGAGAGGCCGCGGGGGGAGGGTCCACATGAAAGTCATGGTCTGAGGTGCAGCCACAAGCACGCGGGGGGGGGGGGGGGTGCAGCAATGGGAGACAGGGGTTCCTAGAGACCTGTGGAGGCTTTTGAAGTTACAGAGTTGGCCAGGAGGCAGGGAGCGAGAGGGAGGAATGGGGGCGCTTCAGGCACAGAGATTGGGATGTGGGGGGAGGGGGGGGAGAAGGAGTGGGGAGAAAGCATGCAGGAGGGT